TTAAAAATTAAAAACATTTGTTTGAAAAAAAAAGAAAAAAAATTATAATTTTGAATATGATTTATATGTATAATATTTTATAAACTAAATATTTTTTTTATTTATAAAAAACATTTTTTAAAATTATAATTTTAACATTTTATTAAGGTCATTTCAGTTTTATAATTATTTTGTTATTTATTTATTTAATTTATTATGTTATTTAAACTACAATTTACACAATTTATAAAATTGTAAGAGTGTTATTTTCGCATTTGTAGAATTTGTTTTTAGCTAATTTTATAAAAAGAAGTTACAAATATGTATGAATTAAAGATTTTTATTATTATCTCTTTTATTATTATCAGATTAAACAGATCATGTTTTTATCAGTAGTGTAATCATTAGTGTAATAAAATGTAGTTTCCAAAATATAATATCTCTTTCGGAGACTTATGCCCAGTATCGGCGAATTTTCTCTATTATATAATATTTTGTACATTAAATATGTACACACACGCACACACACGCACACACACACGCGCGCGCGCACACGCACACACACGCACACGCACGCGCACACACACACGCACGCATACGTGTGTGTAATATATAGCCTCGATTATATAATATAATATATAATATTATATAATATTTTATACGTAAGAATTACATAATATTTATACATTTTTGATATAATATTTATTTAATATAATGTAATATTTATATTAGGTATGTATATATATATATATACATATAAATAAATTGTAATATATGTGTATATAGGTGCAAGATAATTGGGTAGTCATGGCTTCCGAAAACGGAAAGTTTAAAGTTATATGTCGCTCATATAATTGATAAGCTCTGTCAGAGAAGAATACCTCGACATTGGATATTTCGGCGCTATCATCGATGGTCTTCCTAAAGGTTCTCATTAGAGATTATGTTATCAGGGAAGAGAAGTCGGCCATTCAATTCATGGCGTTGCTCGTTTATGCGCATAGTATCGCCGATCACCAGCAACCAAGGATCGCGAAAAGGAGCAAACGACGCTCGCCGGACATCGACGTGACGCGTCGCGACGCGACGCCAAGCGGGCAAAAATAGTAGCCCCTGCCAACGCCGACGCCGACGCTGAGCGTCGACCATCTCCGTTTGTCAGTCGGGGCGTCGTTGCGGGGATGCTTCGGTAGATAGTGGAGAAAGCGGCAGTGATCGCGACACATTCCCTGGGAGTGGATCCACACCCATGTCTCATGGTGACGCGCTGTTACGCAGGGGTGTCGGGGGTGCGTGATCGCGCGCGAGATATATCGTCGCATTCAATATTATCTATTCTTTCGTTACCGCTTTTCCGTCGCAACTGACACAGTTTCGCGTGACTTTTTTCCTTGCTCCTCGATGCATAGATAAATTTTGAGCTCACGAGCATACGACGAGGTAATCGTGATCTTCAGGTCGTATGGTGCGCGACGCAACGATGTGGCGGATATCGTCCAGATGTCCATCAAAGTGGCGGTAAAGTACTATAATTGCGTATAATAGATGTACCTGTAAGAGTTACAAGACTCGCGTGATATATATATATATATATATATATATATATATATATATGCATGTATGTATGTATATATCTTTTTTTTATATTGTTTTCAATTAAACATTTCGTATTCTTAGTTTTACAAAATTGGTCATTATTTGTTAAACGGATTAAAACAGCCTACAGATCTAGCTATGCACTTAAAGCTAATTTGTATTCATTCGATTATCGATTTTGTTTGTCAAGAAGATCGTGTTCGAAATTCGATATGCAACAATGGAAATCGGACAATCATTCAACTCTGCGAGCAATTCTTTTTACTGTACTCTACAGTTGGATTTATTCGGAAAGTGGCTAGACTGCGTTGAATAATGCCCGAACGTGTTTGCTATATATAAGAATGTTGCATATTGTAAGATTTTCGCGCGTTATGTCACTCCGCAAACTCGCATATTGGAACATGTCTCTATATGAGCGTTGCGGGGGATGCTTTTTACGAGATATCGCGCGCGTAATCGAATAAAAGCGTTCGACGACTTCGCGGATGATACTGGATTAATTTCCGACATATATGTGCTCGTGTTATAGCTACAAACTCGCTTAACCGAGCGATTGATTTTGCAATCTTTACATAAATTACCTATACGCAAATTATGCGAGCACGTGGCTGCCATATGCAACTATCGTTATATTTTCTGTTCAAAACGTTGGGTCGATGTAGTTACTTCGTGTGATTTTACACAATCGCGCAGCTTGTCTATGTTTATATACAGTTTTTTTAAATAATCATAAATAACAAAATATAAAAAAATATAGAGGAGATCGGAGCTGGTTGATACAGTTTTTTTAATGAATTTTTTACATGTAACTATAAATAAATGAAATAAATACCGCAAAGATATTTATCAATAGCCACATGCTTCAACAACAAATTAAGAAATTATTTTTATAATTTAATAATATAATTAATTTGTATTAATGGAAAATGTAAAGTGACGCAACAACCGGCCCCATATACGGGGTCAATTGTTACAATTACTGGAATCAGTCAGCTTTCAAAATATAACGCGTTTAATTGAAGATAACTTAGTTATCTTAAGGAATAACATAACTTTATTTATAATTTTCAAATAAAATATACACATTAATGTAACATTAATGATATAAATATAAATGTTTATCAGTCTTTCTCTTACATAAATCACAGTGGGAAAAAATATAAATATAAGATTGCACTAAGGAAAGACTACAGAAATCTAACATTATTTTAAATTTGTTTCGGTTGATAACAAAAATAAACACTGTAACAACAATATACCTCGTCACAACCAGTCCCGATGTTACCATATTTA